GGGTGGATTGTTACGCCCCGTATTTTATTAATAAAGGAAAATACTAGCTTTTAGTTTTAAGCTAGCCTTTGTTAATAAATAATCATGTTCATGTTCAAATTCAAGTTAATTAGCTAGTTGTATTTCAAGTTCGACTATTAGTCGATACGTTATTCGGTTTGATTATCCCAGTAACCGAATGAGTTTCAGATTTATATCCGACTTCTTTAATTAATTAATGAGTTCGGAATTAATCAGTTAAGTTGACGAATTATCCGAAATGTCGATATTCGGATTAATCGTCCAAGTCATGAATATTCGAATTAATTTTCGAAGATCACGTTTATGTTCGGAACTAATTATTTCAGTCAAGATTCTTCAAAATTATTTTCGAAGTCATGTTCACGTTCGGATTAATATTGGTATTTAAGTACCAAGTTAATCAAATAAATCATGTGTTATCAATTAATTAAGCATGTAATTGTGCTTAATTTTCTATAATCAAGTTTAAGTCATTAATGATGCTAAATCATTCTCCAATTATTTGTAATTGCCGTGAGCACAAATTGTTGGGGAAATTGTACAAGTTCATGCATTAGTCATCTATTGTTAAGCATAAGGTGTCATGCTAACCATTCTTCATTTATGACTAAGCAAAGTTAAGGTCATGACTAAGCCAAATTAAGCCATGTGTTTGGCATTTTTCCACCTCCTCACTTCGGCCATATATATATATCATGTGTTTGGGAGAAAAATTTTCCAAACTCTTATTTGAAAGTAACTCAGCATATATATATACTTCATCTTAAGCTAGTAAGTGAGGGGGGTAGAGAGCTCTAGCTTCAAGCAACTCAAGAGTACCGCACGGCGTTGCGCGACACACACTCACCGCACGCGAAGAGCCATGCACGCACGATAGGGCACGTACGCTCACGAGAATCTTGCGCAACTAGCCGAGAGTTCAAGGAGGTATCACCATCTTCTTGATCAATTCATGTTAATATGAACAGTTTAGGGATCCATGTTTAGTTCATGTCAATTGAAGCCAATTTATGTTCGGTTCTATGCCTTTAAGCCATGATTATATGATGGTTCGAATCTATTTC